TCCAGTTGGGTGAATATCAAATCTGAGGTCGTTTGGAAAGGGAAGAGTAAAGTATTTTCGAATGATGTATTCTATCGGATTGATGCACCATAACAGAATAATATCGTTGTTCAGTTCACTAAACAGAATAGTGTGGGTCGAGTGAAAACGTTTCTAGCGAGAGACTATTTGAACAAGACTTTTTGTGGAATATACTATTTTTGTGACAATTCATCTTGCTCTCAGAAGAATAGTAAAATAGATTCTGTGAAGGGCTTTTGTAGAAGCGTTATTGATCACAGTAATGTATGCTAAGGTACTTTTATTCAGCCAATGCAGATTGCAAGTATATTCTGCGATCACAAATATTGAATGCAAACAATAATGATCAGAGTTGTGATGGTGTTATTGAATGGTCGGTTGATTGATGGTAATGTTATTCATAATTTAGAGATTCGTTGGGTTCTTCTCAGTGATATTTTAAATGAGATGAGATTTGTGTTACTCGCTTGGGTAAATGTATGTCGTTGCGTTATAAATGAAGAGTGGTTGTTTGGGTTGAAGTGTTGCTTGTTTTGCATCTTGCTTGCTAACCGATAACGGTTCTGACTGAATATTTACTAATCATCTTTATGTTTCAAAAAGTGCTGCGATTGTTAGCATATATAAATAATACTGATCGGACGCTTTTACAAAATCATTATTCGTTCAGGAAAAGGATCGCCGTTATGAACTGCTTGTGCAAAAGTTCAAACGTTTACGGAAATGTGTTTTGCCAAGAAGAAATGGCGAGAGTGAAGACGATCGTCAGTCGTCATTTGGTGGATCTGACTGTTCAGCAGAAAGTTCGATTTCACTCGATACGATCACTGAAAATTTCAGCGAGGTTTCAGTCTTTTCTGAAAACAAACAAATTTGGGTGTATTATTGTGATGGTCCAGCCCACGCTGATGATTAACTGAAGTTGTCATATTGAGCGCAGAATACGCCAAGCAACATTGATTGAACAATTTTCACATAGCAGACGTAAACCATGTCCGCTGATGAAGCTTTGCTGCTTGAATTATTCAAAACAAACGGCATTGGTCTACAATGCGATTTTCATTTGAAAGATGCGGTTCATTTCAATGAAACTGTTCTTAATATTTCTTTTTCAAGATTTTCATGTCATCTTAACTGACCGTTTTACTGATTTTCATTGGGATGATATCATCTACATTTCACCATCGTAACATTGATGAAAATAATTTTGAACAAGAGACGTGAAACATGAGAAAAAGAATATAGATTGATGCTATACTTTGAGAGGTTCGATAACGAGTTCGAGAACAGTTATCAGCATTTGGCTCGTGAACATGATGAATTACAAAGGGCCTTATCGGCATTAAAGATAACTACTAGAATGACGACTGCTTATGAAGACGATCAGTTAGTAGGTGATCGTCAGTTAGAATGTGCTCGAGCATCACAACAACATCTCACTGATGAACTTATCCAACAGGTAAATGCCTATTTCATTTATGTGACATTTGCTGATTCACTCGCTCGTATCAGTCAACTGAGAATTGCATAGGTCTGTCTCATTCTCCTGCGAGTCGCCACAATTTCTTTATTAGTAAGCGAATACCAGTTTAGAGACGTGTTTTATTTCACCAGTGAACGTTTTCAGTCGCATGGTAAGTGCAATTGTTACAAAGAACTACACTACAGGGTTCCTCTAGAATGTGAACGCATAGGCAAAATGTTCATTTCCAAGAAATGAAATTCTTAACAGTATTTTATCCACCTGAAATAATCACTAGTAAAACCTTCAGCGTGATTTCAAACATTTATGATACAAGGGCTGATGCGTTTTGCAAAATGCTTCTGAAAATTCCATCACTCCATAATATGTATTCTGGACACTCTCTACATTGTTCTAGCAAAGTTGATAACATTGTATTGAAATCGATGATATGCAGAATCAATTCAATGATGGAATTTGTAAAGTTCCGAAATGAACTTCATCTTTGGATGGGCTGTATCGTATTCAGTAAAAACAGATGTGTTGTGACGAGGATGTGATACTCCTAATGTTAATCTAATTTAACATCTGGTATCAATGTAATTTGCTTTATGCGTGTGTAGAATAGCTGATTCCTTTTTGATTTTATGACTAATGTGTGCATGTCGATTTTGAAAACTGACTGCTTGAAGTGTTCCTAAAATATGCGTTCTTGTTTTGGTTCAAGAATCAGTTTTTAGCCAGAGAATACGACCGATTTATTGGGAGCAGTCACACGATTACAAGATCAGTTAATTGCTCTACAAACGAAATGTGAACGATTAGAAAGGGAGCTAAGCGATTCTAACGAGAACAAGGAGTTACTGGAATTTCAACTTCTCGAAGCAAACGAAAATATGAAGCATGAGCTTGAGGTGTGTGGCTTCGTTGATTGCGTTTGCAGTATTTCGTGATCTGTTTTGTTGATTGTTTTGATGGCTTATTGTTTCGATGGTTCATCATTGGAATAAGTTTTCTATCTGTTCGGCTTACTTTGCAAAATTGAATGCTAATTTCATCAATATGTTGGTTTAAAATAATGTGAATGAGGCAATTGATACAAGTGAAATACAACCGCATGGAAGGGAATTACCTGCTATTCTCACTGATCGACTTACTGCATAGAAACGAGAAATGACCTCGGAATTGGATTCAGTTTTACTCCCTTTCTTCAACTATTCTTCTGCAATATCATCTTTATCATTCCATATATTTTAGCCTGAGTACAATTTCAATTTCATCTTTTTAGGATGTTTTTTAAATATCTGTTTGGCTGTGTTATGTTCTAGACTCTATTTTCATCAACGTTATTGGCTTCATTTTTGAACCTGTCGAAGAGTTTTTTGCGTCATGACAGTAGATCAAAGATTAATTCCAAGACTACTGTTGTGTTCAAGATTTCTAACGAAGCACATGATGGCCATTGCTTGATGTTTCGGAAGAAAAAGCTTTTTCATCGAGATAATTTCAAGGAAAGTTTGGCAAGGAGAAAGGGACATGACAAGATGATAGAAACGGATAAATGGATTGCGGAGGATGGAGATGATAAGGAACTGTTGCAAATTGCGTTGGTTGGTTGGTTAATTCGTTTAAATTTTTGGGTCGATGGATCAAAACAGAGAATCACTTACAATGCTATTATTTTCGCATCACTTCTTGATGATTGAAACTGAGGATGAAGGGGCGTTGATTCACGACCATTATATACCTCTTTGTTAGCTAATTGTCTCATTAATCACCATACGTAAAACTACCCAGAATTTGATCGTATCTTTTGCAGACATTGGATCAGACATGTGATTTGAAACGAGACTTACTTCAGCTATATAAATCAGCAAATCTTGATGACTGTCAACGAAAAAACATTCGTCAAGCGAAGCTCTATATCGAATTTTTGGAAAACGTACGCTTGAATGTATAATATTGTAAAGTAGGGCAAGGACGTTGTTAAGCGTCCTTTGAAGGCTGCCTTCGAACAAATCACTGCTGACTTGAATCGAAGGTTTTCGATATGACAGCTTCTAGTCGTGGCAGTTATGCGGATCTTGATTCAAAGTGAAAAATTGACGATTTTTGACAAATGTTTAGGTATGTTCAATCAAACAGAGTCAGTTACAGGGATTATTGGAGATGGGTAGCGATGGTAGTACAAAGATTAAGGACTATGAACTAAAGAAGACTGAAAACGACATTTTGATTGCGGATCTTCGAGAGCAAATTCAGGGACTGCGTTCAGTTGAAAAACAAAAAATGGTTTGCGTTTATATACACCTCACTGAAACCTTCCATGAACGCGAAACTTAATTTTTTTCAGTTTTCTCATCAGTCCATTGTAAAACCCTTACATTTTTGCCAATAATCATTGGCTCAAATATAATTGCAATGCCAGTAACTATGAATTTGATCTTGTTTTCATCACCAGTGCGTTGCAGGAACTCGAAGTTGAGGTGGAAAGGTTGCATACAAGCGTAGCTGCCCTGAATCAAGAGAAGCAAGTGCTCCTCGATAAAATTTCTGAAAATTCGTCTGAAGTAAAAAAACCGATGTTCGATAACACGGCAAATAATGAAGGTGTGAAAGACTTGGAGAAGGAATTAATGAAAAAATTAAACGCGACGGATGAGCAGAAAGCATCATTACTGCACAGAATTGAAGCTTTGGAAAAAGAAAAACAAGAACTGCTGATGAGCAGGACTGAGTTGCAACAGGAGATGAATGTCCTGACCAAAAGCGTTGCTGAGTCAAACGATCGAATCAGCTCACTGACGAAAGCAAATCAAGATGCAAAGATCGAACAGAACGCTGTAAGTTCTGGCAACGCTTTACTCTTATTTTTAATGGTAAAAATCTGTTTTGTTAGTAATCTTTGAATCCTGCGTGAAAAGAAACCAATGTTTTACATCAACTTCCATCAAAAATCGTCTAACAGCAGACTCAGAATAAATTTCATATGTTGATCTCTCAAGTTCTCGAATTGAAAAACCAATCTTTTTATCGGCATTCTGTTTGTTGTTGAGTATTGTACATTTTTGTTTCTGCGATTATATTTTCACATGCATGACAATATACAGCTAACAATAAGAAAACATTTGAAAAGGTAAATTATTATGGTTCCATTTCCATGTCGTTATGAATGCTTTTCACCTACAAGTATCGCTCGAGAAGTGTCGAAAATCGGGTTGGAACAGTATTAATTATTGTTAGAAGGAACAGTGTTCGGAATTCAAGCGTCAGTGCAAGGCTAAGTTCAAGCATGAGCATGGGCCTACGTGTTAGCCTAAGGCTGAGCCTAAATTCATCTCATTCGAATTCGAACATTCCAGTTTTTGACACTTTTCTGCTAACCTGCTCATAATTACAATTGTATTGCCAATTTAATGATTATATCTCCACTTCAAGTAATTATTTTGGAAATTTTCATTCGTTACGAACATTTAGTTTGGTTGTGTTGAAGCGTGACAGGTGCTGTATTGTTGCAAAGCTGTAGGTTGCTGTTGTTTTGCCTTCAAAAGCTTTCTTGACTGTATTCGATAATCGATATTGATGATTGATAAAAAATTATTGCTGCTCTTCTAGCTGACTGGAGAAATAAACGCATTGTCGAAGGAACTTGGTAAGGTTCGTTATTGTATGCAACAAAAAGACGGACAGATTACAAGCGAATCAAAGAAGCATGCCGCTCTCAAATGGTTTCTATTGTTTTAGCTTTAATCCTCAAATTTATCTACCTGTTAAAATTTATCGATATGAACTGCCTTAACGATTATTTCATCTTGCACTTCTCTATTCCAATTGTCTCGAGATTTTCAACTGTGCAATTCTTTTGTAATTATTAAATTATCCCTCTTATGATTATGAGGTCTTCTCCTAATATGGTTGTTTTTTGTTATTGTCAGCAGTTGAACTGTTTTTGTTTCATTCCTCATTTCGTAGTATTCAATATCACACCAGTGGTGTGTGCACAATTATGCTGCAGCATCACCACATGGAATCAATCAAATATTTACAGTGAACTTGAAATGGCAATTAAAAATCATATAAACGAAATTGAAGAATTACGAACAATTAATACTCATCAGAAAGAAGCAATGGAGGAAGCAAAGGTCAGACTATTTTTTAGTGGTCATCCCTTTTGCAGATTTTATGATACAATTTCGTTGTATTTGTTCGATAAAACTTCCACAATGACTGGGATTCAACTGGTTCACAAGTTACGATCCCATCATCAACAAATCATAGCTCTCCGCACTTAAGCATTCAACTTGTTTCCTTGTAAAAATACGTATCTTCCCTGTGTGCTTACAATCAAAACATGTATTTCAGATATTCAGCCGATTGATTTGGCTTTAATTCGAAAATTTCATGCATAATCAATCAGCAACATTTATTTAGGAAAAACTTGCCCGAATATGTCAAGAGAAAGCGGATATTGAAGAGATGAATTCGAAGTTGCGGGAGCGTATGAATGCTTTGATTGAGGAGAACCAGAAATTGAAAGAGGAGATCAGGCCTGCAATTAAGTATGTGTAAATGTTCAGCACTGTTGTTTTTCATTTCACTATATTATTTGCCGTTTTTGTAATCTCACTACAGAAAACATTTTTTCTCTCTGAATGTTCATATTAATCGATATTTTTTAAGGAGGGAATTATTTCATAATTATAACATTTGCACTAACGTTTTTCTCTTTGATTCATGTGTGCTAATTGCAAGCAGTGTTCGTCGGGGAGCACTTTTTCGGACGGCGGGGTCCCTGCGAGGAGAAAAGTGGACGAGAGGAGTCCTCGCAAAAAAGTTGGGGAGCAAATCACGTAGGGGGGACCTCGTCGAGGAATGACCGCTCCCCGTGTTTACCGACGGGGAGTACGGGGAGCATCTCAGCTCAATTTTTCAATAGAATTTCAATTTTCAAAAGATTTTTCTTCTTTTTTAAGGTGTTTTTTTTGAAAATTCCGTTTCAGCTTTTTAAATAGAATTTTTCTTCCCGATGTGCCCTTTGGGAGTAAAATGAAATCGTTCATCAATGATAATGCGCTCACGACTGCAGCTTTAAATAACATGTTGCTGCCATTCAAAAACCTCACAATAAATTGATTTTATTTTATTAACATCTCATTTTATCAGTTTTATCCTATCTTATTATCTCTAATATCGTATCACTTTCACAGTAACTCACACCCCCAATAATCCAATACCTCAGCAACAATTACCAGAAACATCATCAGTATAGAAAGAAGTGAGAATTTTTGGACTGTTTGGAAAGTAGACGGATTCAGTGATTGTAATGTTTTTTGGGTAATGAATTCACACTTCTGATATCGAAATAACTCAAAAACAGTTGGTCAGTAACTCCGTTGATAAGTGCAAAATCATAAATTTTCAAATAAATGACAGATTGTGAACTTAAGAAACCATTGTTCATAACAAGTTTTTCGATCTTTATGATTATATATTTTAAAAATGTCATTATATACTTTTAAAAAATTATATACTTTAAAAATGTCACTGCCATCGTTTATTTCCCCCTCAGCAATATTTGATTCCTTTTAAAGGACGGTTGAGCCAAAATTTCCATATTGGGCATTCTAAATTCAGTTACTTCAAAAATTTAAACAACAGATCGCTCTAATCGAACAGAATTTGAGCCAAACACCTTATACTCACATTTCAAAACAAACAACAAGACAATATCAGTTGAGTGTTCGCGAAGGTTCGCGCTCTCCGTCCTTCCCGTCAGGGAGCGAAACTGGGTGGGGGA